TAATTTCTAGTAATAGTAATTTCAATACTAGTCTCAAAGCTAGTAATTTCAATACTAGTCTATATTGAAATTACTTAAGAGCCTCACGGATTCGTTTCTCTGGCGAGATACGATGCTGGCACATTTTCAGAGATCGGTGTCGTACCAAGCTGCAACCTGGTTATTATCTTGTGGCGGTGCAGGAAGCTCTCCTAAATGATCGAAACTCAGGTCACCCTCGTGCGCCACGTCCATAGTGTCCATCGCGCCATATGTCGACCCTCCACCTATTTCCAACCCTTGCATCGAATCTACTGGTATCTGGTCATAACCTGTTTTGTACAATAAATTTTTAGGATAAATCCAAACGTTTGTATAAACGATTCGCATAAACTACATTAATCGAATACAAGAATACTACATAATGTCAATCGTAATTTGGAAAATATATTTTCTCGTAACTTGAAACTGTAAATATTCGCGCTTCTCTTTTCTTCAGAAATTGAATTTTTGTTCTCTAATTTTTTTTTATCAGATTAAAACGAGGAACTATTGCTTTGATCGATTTTAATATCCCTTTTAATTGAGTTAATGACATCGATACTCAACAAGGCAGGATAAAATTAATTAAATTTCGAAAGAAGATAAAAGAATAAATGACAGCCACGGGGAAGGAAAAATTTTAATCGCATATTTCACCGTTGAGAATAAATTATTTATTTATTTATTTTAACAATATGCGCTCGTTTCCGCGATGGCAAACAACGACAAACGTATCTTATCTAATTACTTACGAATACTTATCTATGCTTCTTTCCACCACAAAGTACGATCACTTAGAGAAAAGATGATAAAGATACAAATATACCATGCATAAAACTTTAAAAAGATAAATTAAGAAAAATGAAAAAAACAATGAATCCGTTATGTTTTTGAAAAAAAGAAATTAGAAAAAATTAAAAAAAAATAAAAATAAAAATAAAAAAGAAAAAATACATTCATAAAACGTGCAATGTATATATGTATATTTATATGTATGCATGTATATATAGTATATGTGTATGCGTGTTTGTGAGCGCGCACAATACTTGTTAAATACAATAAAAAAGTATCGCGATCAAAATGAAGAATTTAAAATGTGAATTAAAAAAAAAAAAAAAAAAAAAAAAAAAAAAAAAAAAAAAAAA